ATACTTCCAACAATCCATAAGAGATTAGATTCTTATGATCTTCTAACATTATTCACATTTAAAAATATATTTTCTTGTATAAAAAATAAATTTAATATTTCTAAACCATAAATTTTGGTTTAACCCATTCCATCAATTTTGGAATTTCTATTTTATAAATCATAACTATTCTCTTCTTATGGTCCAATTAAATTAAATTATTTTTAATCATAAGGCGTATGGGATTACAAGTTCTAAGATGAAAATTTTTTATTAAAACCCTCTAAAATATATCTCTCTAACCCATATCTCTTAAACCTATAATTAACCCTAACTAGCCTTTAATCCTACAAACATGTTTAGCTTTATATACTCATCCAATTAAAAAATTTCTTTGAGTCAGATTCCTTGAGTTGTATTTATCATTTTTTATATAATTTATCGGTATATATCAATGACATACATATATATAAAATGTATAAAATAATATATTCGAAAACCTTATAAAAAGAACCATAACCATATATAATTGTATTATTTTTATTAAGCATCCAAATGGCTTTTATAATATCGTCAAATATTGAAATATATTATTTTTTAACTACCAATATGACAAATATAATTATTCTTAAATGCGAATTATAATTACAAATAGCAATAGCCAAAAATTATATTATCTAAAAAAAAATTAAAATAAAATTAATTTATTGAAACCTCATGATCATTATTATTTTTACAAATATTCCTAGTTAAACAATAATATTTTATCGATTAATAAATATATAATAGATGGTATTCGATTTTGAAAAGGTTATATTGGTTATTAAAATAATTTTTTAACTTAATAGTAACCGATTCAGCGATATTTATAATTATAAATATAGGTTATTTTTAGGATAAAATTTAACTCATAAGTTAGAAAATCCATTAAAATTTTACTCACTCATAAAGTTTTTAATGCAACTAGATTTAAAGAAGAATAAAAATATTATATATAGTGATTGAAATTTTTTATATAATGGATTCACGATCTTTGTAACGTTTATTTTGTTGATTAAACTGCCGAATTTTTCTTTTATCAATTATCAATTAATCAGCATATGTAAATCAGTCAGAGAAGTTAAGATATGATCTGTATATAAAATAAAAGTTTTAAAACTGAACCCTAAGAGGATTCGCTATATGTATCTTTCCATATTGATATTTAAAAATAAATGTAATTACTTCAAATTCATGTGTGAGAGACTCGGTGATCACCCCCCCCCCCCTCTTCTAGAAAAATCTTGATAACGCCTATGTGGGTCATTAAAATTCTTTAGTTGTCATCAGAATAAAGCATTTGTGACAGAAACTAGTAGTATTTTACAACAAATTATTTTTTGGTTTTTAAAAAATAAAATACAAAAAATTATAAATTATAATCTTGATTCATCTTTATTTCACATATTGATTTACTGGTATCGTCCCTCTAATTCGTATGAAAATTTAGGAAATAGGTTTTTTGTCGTAATTGCAATAGTTCGTTCCCAAAAAAAATAGTTCGTTCCCAAAGTAGTTTGTTCCCAAAATAATTATGAAAATCCAAGAGATTAATGCTAAATCGCAACAATTATCAATAAGAAAATTGTAAAGTATATATTATTTAATTTGCATATAATAATTAATTTTTTTAGAAAACTAGGCAAAACAAAGAGTGCAAATAAACAAAGCTATTATTCAAATTCTAATAATCAAATGGTTCAATATAGTTTGTTCAAATCAAAATACAACAATAATATTATCTATTCTAAGAAAAATTTAATTCAATTTATACATTATCATGCAAAAAAAAGAGATTGCATTTTTATATATTAATTAAAATTTTTATTATGAGATATTTCATATAAATTTTAATAATGTTATATCAAAGATATATTTATAATAAAGAGTTTGCTAAAATATTGTAAATTATCTGCTATTTATATCATTTTTAAACAAAGCTATTATTCAAATTCTAATAATCAAATGGTTCAATATAGTTTGATCAAATCAAAATACAACAATAATATTATCTATTCTAAGAAAAATTTAATTCAATTTATACATTATCATGCAAAAAAAAGAGATTGCATTTTTATATATTAATTAAAATTTTTATTATGAGATATTTCATATAAATTTTAATAATGTTATATCAAAGATATATTTATAATAAAGAGTTTGCTAAAATATTGTAAATTATCTGCTATTTATATCATTTTTAAACAAAGCTATTATTCAATTCTAATAATCAAATGGTTCAATATAGTTTGATCAAATCAAAATACAACAATAATATTATCTATTCTAACAAAAATTTATACATTATCATGCAAAAAAAAGAGATTACATTTTTATATATTAACTAAAAATTTTATTATGAGATATTTCATATAAATTTTAATAATGTTATATCAAAGATATATTTATAATAAAGAGTTTGCTAAAATATTGTAAATTATCTGCTATTTATATCATTTTTAAACAAAGCTATTATACAAATTCTAATAATCAAATGGTTAGTTTGATCAAATCAAAATACAACAATAATATTATCTATTCTAAGAAAAATTTAATTCAATTTATACATTATCATGCAAAAAAAAGAGATTGCATTTTTATATATTAATTAAAATTTTTATTATGAGATATTTCATATAAATTTTAATAATGTTATATCAAAGATATATTTATAATAAAGAGTTTGCTAAAATATTGTAAATTATCTGCTATTTATATCATTTTTAAACAAAGCTATTATACAAATTCTAATAATCAAATGGTTAGTTTGATCAAATCAAAATACAACAATAATATTATCTATTCTAAGAAAAATTTAATTCAATTTATACATTATCATGCAAAAAAAGAGATTGCATTTTTATATATTAATTAAAATTTTTATTATGAGATATTTCATATAAATTTTAATAATGTTATATCAAAGATATATTTATAATAAAGAGTTTGCTAAAATATTGTAAATTATCTGCTATTTATATCATTTTTAAACAAAGCTATTATTCAAATTCTAATAATCAAATGGTTCAATATAGTTTGATCAAATCAAAATACAACAATAATATTATCTATTCTAAGAAAAATTTAATTCAATTTATACATTATCATGCAAAAAAAAGAGATTGCATTTTTATATATTAATTAAAATTTTTATTATGAGATATTTCATATAAATTTTAATGTTATATCAAAGATATATTTATAATAAAGAGTTTGCTAAAATATTGTAAATTATCTGCTATTTATATCATTTTTAAACAAAGCTATTATTCAATTCTAATAATCAAATGGTTCAATATAGTTTGATCAAATCAAAATACAACAATAATATTATCTATTCTAACAAAATTTAATTCAATTTATACATTATCATGCAAAAAAAAGAGATTACATTTTTATATATTAACTAAAAATTTTATTATGAGATATTTCATATAAATTTTAATAATGTTATATCAAAGATATATTTATAATAAAGAGTTTGCTAAAATATTGTAAATTATCTGCTATTTATATCATTTTTAAACAAAGCTATTATACAAATTCTAATAATCAAATGGTTAGTTTGATCAAATCAAAATACAACAATAATATTATCTATTCTAAGAAAAATTTAATTCAATTTATACATTATCATGCAAAAAAAAGAGATTGCATTTTTATATATTAATTAAAATTTTTATTATGAGATATTTCATATAAATTTTAATAATGTTATATCAAAGATATATTTATAATAAAGAGTTTGCTAAAATATTGTAAATTATCTGCTATTTATATCATTTTTAAACAAAGCTATTATACAAATTCTAATAATCAAATGGTTAGTTTGATCAAATCAAAATACAACAATAATATTATCTATTCTAAGAAAAATTTAATTCAATTTATACATTATCATGCAAAAAAAGAGATTGCATTTTTATATATTAATTAAAAATTTTATTATGAGATATTTCATATAAATTTTAATGATGTTATATATCAAAGATATATTTATAATACAATTGTGCTGTCTATTATATATTAATGGATCTAGAGCATTAAGAGTTTGCTAAAATATTGTAAATTATCTGCTATTTTAATATATACTGTTCTTGTATTAATATAAATATTAATTACCATTTAGCCATTTAAATTTAATTTAAAATAAAAAGCATTTTTTAATTTATTTGCCAAATCTGTTACAACGTTTAAAATTATACAATTTTATAATCGCTTCAAATATATTTGTGGCCATTTTAGGTCATTTGACGTTTTTTCACAAATGTTCATACGATCTAAGGGATTTAGAATTAAGTAAAAGTCTCACTTTTTATTATTTCCCAGAGTAATGGTAAGATCTTCGGAGTAGATGGGAAATATCAATTTAACTCATAAAACAACAAATATACATTTTTAATTAATAAATAATTAAAACAAATTATTAACGTAGATAATTCCTGACACAAATAGGATATCCATTTAGTAAATTAGTGCATTGCAGCAAATTTTCGCGCTTTTTCCTGAATGACAATACGACCTTTAAAAATTTTATTTCCCCTCCCTCTCCAATAAATCAAAAATTCATTTTTTACTTACCATATAAATATTTTTACAAAAAAGTAAACTATCTGCAATCGCGAGTTTTAACCCAAACGCCAGCCCTGTATTGTTTTAAAAAATTTATACACGATGCTCCCGGTTTGTATTTTAAATTCACCCACCTGCCCTTTTATCTAAAAATTTATTCAACCCAACCGCCCAATGTTAAAAAATTATTAATTGGTTCTATTATAAATATAATAGGTTAAAATATCATGTTTTAGTGCAACATTCTACAAATGTCTCCTATGTAGGTACATACATAAATACATTTTAAATAATGAATTGTCAATCTATTGTGTGCATTTGTACATTGCTCCTTAGATCGGGGAAACGTCTCCCTCCATATCCCTCATGGTCGGAGAAAGTTTCTCTTTAACTGACTGGAGAGTGCTAACTTTATTAAATTTACAAGTATTTTTCCTTTTTATAATATATTTTGTCTATGTTGAATATTTGTACAATATTAATTTCAGAATATGTTTGTGTAGCGTTGGTATACGTTCTCGTCATATTTCCTCGTAGGGTACTGAGATTTCCTAAATGTGGTGAGGTGAAATTTATGTCGGCATTATTTGCGTCAATGTTTGCTGCCTCTAGAGAAATTTTTTAAAATTATTAACGTCAATTCCAAATAAAAATTTTTGATGAATATCATATTCCAATGTAAATATCTGTAAGAGAAGAGAAGAGAAGAGAAGAGAAGAGAAGAGAAGAGAAGAGAAGAGAAGAGAAGAGAAGAGAAGAGAAGAGAAGAGAAGAGAAGAGAAGAGAAGAGAAGAGAGAAGAGAATCAAAATTTTGATTAATTAATATTTAGAATCATTATTATCAAATATTTAATGCACAGAAAAAAAAATTCAAATATAAACGGTAAAATTGAGTATTTAAAAAAAAACTATGGCCGAATAAATACTTAAATTCTTTAATTAAATATAATTCCATTTTATCATTATACTATTCAATTTTTATTTGCATATTTAATATTAAACAAAACTAAAAAAAAATTAATTTGCATAACATAATATACGACCGGTGATTAGTGGGTATATCTATAGCATACGATAGAGGGGGTATAACTCAAGATCATCATTAAAAGGGGGTGGGGAGTGAATCTATTGACATTAGAATAAATAAGAAGGGGAGTGTAATATCAAGTGATAGTGGGGCGAAAGTAATATATCATTGAGTTAAGGGATATTGTGTAGAAGTATCTGTTTAGAACATTAAAGGGTTTAGTGTAGAAGCGTCTAATTATTTAATAAATATATATTTATAAATTTAAAACATACCTTTTCCCTATAAGCTATCTATCAGTTTAGAGATCATAATTTCACCTGGATTACTTTTGCACGATTGTTTAAGTTTTCTTTTCTTTTTAATATCAGACATTGTAGGTAATTCATCTTTAGGCCCCTCCAAATTCTCATCACTATACATATTCTTAGAGGCCTCCATAAGAATTTCAGTGCGTCTTTTATCCGCCTCCTTTGTTATACTTTCGGTTTCTAATTTTTTTTTCCTCTGAAGCAACATGAAATGGATCAAGAAGATTGAACCTCCAATTACTAACATTAGCATTGTAAAAGAAAGTGAGTATAATATGTATTTACCAATTTTATTATCTCTTGGCATTTTATTCTGCATCGAATTTTCATCTTGATTGGATGGCGGAATATAACACGAAACCTCTCGCTTAGGGCCCCACTTTTCGCAGGAACAATTAAAAGGATTATGAGCTAATATTTTCTTTCCCTGTTTTTTATTGGCAGAAGAAGTGTTATTTTTGAATCGATTGAATTTCTTTTGTTTTTTTTCTAATAAAGTTTTAGCGTTCCAGCATAAATCAAAACGAAGACACGAATTTACGAATTTACAAGCATTTTCCCAACAGTGATATGACAATAAAATCTCCTGGGACATACAAGTGCATCTAATATTGAATACATATTTCCTGTAACTCATATTATTTACCTTATAATGAGGTGAACTGAATCAAAATATTATATATTATTTTCTTAAATTGGAAGAAACTTTTAAAAAATAAAATTACAACATTTATACTCTTACACTGAATAACTTTTGAATTTTAGGATTTTAGCTAAAATCATCTTATAGCCCTAGCCCCTCACCCTTTATATTTATATAATATATATACCCGCGCTTTTCTACATTAACACAATTTGGAAAGAAATCGCATATTGGCTTTAGCTCAGCACATATCCTGATAAATTGGCAGTGTATAATACATCGAATAGTGTAACTGTAAATGCAAAATGGGATGAAGAATTTTTTTAAGAGCGAAAAATATTTTATTGAACATAAATTATATACCATAAAGTCCTATGAAAATTAAAAATTATCATTATATAAATAATATAAATTAAGCAAGCAAAACTAAAAGCTTGCAATGCAAGTATATAAAAAACTAAATGACGTTCTATGAATTTTTATGAATGATGATGAGAAAATTTTAGATTCATGATTTTTCTTTACAATAATTAAATAATTTCAGAACGAACGAAAATAATTGATAAAAATCCTTCCTTTAGAAATAATAAATCGTAAGAGATTATCTGGGGAGGAAAACTAGGGCCCATTACCAGCTTCACCAGTAATTAAATCTACATCAACGGTGGATACACTACACTACACGGAGGTAATCATTTTATATTGAAATGGTATAAAAACTGGCTTTTATAATTTAAAATATTATCACAACATTCAAATTATCAATGGTATAATTAGATAGTTGACGAATATACATAAAAATTGTATACACAACTGCTCTTAAGAGCTTTTATGCTTAGACTGTATCAAAATATAAAATATTTTTTATCCCAAAATTGATTTATTTGTAACATACTAGCTGATAGCCCATCAAGAATGATAGGGAATCAGAATTTGATCCTTAATTTGTTGATAGATAAATCAGAAATTTACCCTTTTTTTGATGAGTAGGAATTGTAGAAAATATTGATTTTAATCAAATTTATTTAATATTCTGTAAGCCCAACCTCCACCATTTATAAATATACAATAAAATAATTTTAGATGAATGCCATTATAGGGCCACATAACTAAACTTGACTGAACATATTATTTTATTATAAATTATGAAATGACTAATATGGTAGGGAGATCTCCATATTCAATTTTTATATTATATTTGTTTTACAAATTTTAACCTCATGAGATTTAGACCTGCCCACTTAAGGTGATAATGAACATTATAGTCAAAAAATATTTTAATCTTTTAGTTTGATATCCATATTGAATATTTTAGATCCGACCACTTAATGTGATATTTAATATTGTAGTCAAAAGATATTTTAATTACCTTTTATTTGGTACCCATATCAAATTTTTATTTTTAACCTACCTCCCATCCCGGACCTAATTCAAACCATTAAGAGACCAAGAGTGAATAATATTATTTTGGACAAAAGATATTTTTAATTAGCTTCTATTGGATTCCCATTATAATATTTTGTGTTGAAAAAAATATTCCTCACCCCCCCCCTCCTCTCCCCAGATCTAGACCCGCCAACTTAGAGGGATAATTATCATTATTATTTAACCTTTTATTTCATATCCATATCAAATTTCCATTTTAACCCCCCCCCCCTCGTCCAGGCCAAGTTCAACCCAATTAAGACCAAGAGTAAATAATATTATTTCAGTCAAGCCTCTATTCGATACCCATATCAATATGTTTTCCAAAAATAACCTGCAGATTTACTATTTGTACGCGTCGGTCCTGATCAAAAAAAAAATTCGGCCCGTGTGTTATTTCATATTAAATCAACCAAAAAAACTTGGTTTTCAACCTGACCCCCTTCAATTTTTTATAAAAATTTGTATGTAGGTAGCAGGCATATCAGAGACCAGCAATGGTATCATTTGAACTGCCTGGGCCGGATTTTTTTTTTTAAAAATATGTCATGTTTATTATTAATTTTTATAGCTAATAATGGCGATTTATTTGGTTTTAAAATATACGACGGCGTATTTTTTCAAAAAATTTTTTAGATCCGGCCCGGGTATTTGAAATAATAGGCCCCGACCGGGTAAATATACAATGAAAATCAACTTATTATTAAAAACCGGAAATAGAAAACCGGAAATTTACATAAAAGAAAACTAATATTTTTCTTCAATTTTTTACAGATAAACATTATACTCCCCAATATTTGTACAAAATCTAATATACTCCCAAATGGTTGTAATGAATCCTAGACTGGGACGAATATTGGGCTAAGATATATTGCACTTTGGAAATAAGTTGTAATTTAAAAGATGGTCAATATGCTAGAAAATAAAAACTAAAATCCTGATAAAACCCGACTATTTATGTTTTTTAAATATAAATAACGCAAAAAGTTTGCAACAATCGTCATTTCTATTGATTACATTACTTTCTATGAAATTAAATTACGTATTATTATCCAATTTATTTATAAGTTACAACAACTGTCATAATTTTCATTTTTTATTTTTAACCAAAATAGTTTAAATGACTACTTCAGAAAAAAATTTTTTATTTCACTACCAGTAATGTGCTGTAATCAGGGTTACCACCAGATTCATTCTAACAAAAAGTGGGAGAATTCACTTGAATTTGAATTTATCATAGGTAATTTATTTGAAATTCATATTTTTTTTTCTAAATACGAAAGGATTGTTTTAACGAATTCATCGGCTTCATTTTGAAATGATATTTGTTTCTTAGTTTCAGGACCTAGGGATATTTAACACTATTTTTGAGCTTTTGTTCTTCTACATGTTAAGTTTTGATATTTTTGAATTAGGAAAAAGTAGATGCTTGACTTATAAAATTTAAATTTATGGGTTAGCTTAATTATTTTTTGAAATATAAATATATTGTATTTTAGAATTTTCGCGTTTCTAAAGATGGTCATATCTTAGAATGTGAGCTGAGTTGGGAATTAAAATTGTATATTTTTACTAGCATCATACAAATTTTTAAAAATATATCGAAGGGTTTTGGATTGAATCTTCAGTTGATTTGAAATGGGATACATATATAACATACTTATTAAGCATTTTACCGATCGTTTATCTGCATAGCTTTTCAAATTATAAAATTTCCATATGTCATAAAAGAAGTGAGTTTGGCTCACCACACTTTCTATTTGTCTCCTATTTCCTGATCCCCTTGTAATTTAATACAGTCATTTATATAATCATCAGTCATCACTCTCTCCCTACATACGTAATTAACTGAATTGGTATAGAGTAAAAGAGAGATAATATGATACTTATCGAAAATATACTTTTACCTTAAAAAGTGTATTAAATTTTGAATATTGTGCGTATCATTGTTGCTTTTCATTTGATTGAATATCATCCAAAATAATGATTATTTTATTAATATTTTATTGAAAATATCTTAAAATAGAAAATTGATAAGTAAATTGTTTTATGATATATAATTTTTAATATATATTTTATTTACTTTTATTTTTTACAGATAAATGGCGATATAATCGTTATATTCGGCCTTGCCCGGATATTTTTTAAAAAAAAAAATATTTAAGCCCAGCTCGGCCAGGTTATTTTTTTTTAAAAAGAATATTTTTTAGACCCTCGGGTATATATATTTAAAAAAATAAAAATCCAACTCGGCCCAGTGTTTTTTTTATACTATATTTGTAATACAATATTATATCTTTCCTACATTTAATATTATATAATCGAGGTTAATCAAATTGCATATGATTAGAAGATAAATTTGATAATTATATAAATGTATATTGTATATATGTCGTAATTTTTAAAGGGATTATAACTAACCGGGATTTTCACGGGATTTAAAGGGACCCCTTTAAGATTTCAATTTTTTAAAGGATAAATAACTATACGGCATTATCACGTTTGAACCATGATATATGGATCTTATTTTAAAAAGCGTTTTACGCGCGTTTCGCTTTATTTTTTTTTAAAATTATTTGTTATTTATTATTTTCAATGTTGTTTTTTTTTGACCTTATGAAATATGATATGTCTAATGTAGGGTATCAATCGATAGCTAATCAAAAGATCTATTCAACTGGAAGTCAATCTCTCCCCCATAATGAGCGGGTCAAGGTTTTGGGTGGGGGGCGTCAGAAATATTTTTATCAACACAAAATATGGGTATCAAATAAATGCTAATTTTAATATTGTTTGACTGAAAGTCTTCATTTTTATTCTAGATGGGTATGACTTGGTCAGGGCCGGTGGGTGGAGAGGGGAGGGGGTGTGAAATTTTTTTTTTGATATGGGTATTAAATAAAAGGCAATTTTTATATAGTTTGACTGAAAGTTTTCATTCTTGGTCTTGATGGGTATGACTTGGTCTGGGGAAGGAGGGTGGAGGGGGGGGTGTAAAAAGAATTTATTTTGATATGGGTATCAAATAAAAGGTAATTAAAATGTTTTTCTATTGTAATAATAATAATTACTCATAGATGGCGGGTCTAGGTCTTGGGGTCAGGAATATTTTTATCAACACAAAATATAGATATGTGTATCTCTTGGTCTTGATGGGTATGACTTGGTCTGGGGGGGGGGAATAGATGGAGAGGAGGGGTGTAAAAAATATTTTTTTTTTGATATGGGTATCAAATAAAAGGTAATTAAAATATCTTTTGACTGAAAGTCTGGTCTTGATAGGTATGATTGGGTCTGTGGGGTGTATGGAGGGGAGGGGGGAAATAATTTTTTTTGATATGGGTATCTAATAAAATATGGAAAAATAAAAATACTACAAACTCGATAAGCAACAGCATCGAAAATATTTTAGCTAAACTACCTTCGTTTATTGCATATTTAATAGATAGGAATAAGCAAGAGAATGCTTACAAAAATAAAATTAAAAAAATAAAATTTTGCATTGG